AGTTAGAAACATCAATGAGAGAGAATCATTGATCAGCTGCCTCTTGCACACCCCCTACTGGGGATGTGCCCGCAACCCAGGTACATGCCCTTGACCGGAATCGAACCTGGGACCTTTCAGTCCGCTGGCCGACGCTCTATCCATTGAGCCAAACCCGTTTCGGCCTTTACTTTTTTAGTTTTAAAAATTGATTTGTGTGTGTGTGTGTGAGAAAGAGAGAAACATCAATTTGTTGTTCCACTGATTTATGCATTCATTGGTTGATTCTTGTATGTGCCCTGACAGGGAATGATACTCTAACCAACTGAGCTATCTGGCCAGGACATATTTTTTATTTTTTAATTATAGTTGACATACCATATTATATTAGTTTCAGGTGTACAGTTGTCTTTTTTGTTGTTGTTGTTAACCCTCACCCAAGGATATTTTTTCCATTTATTTTTTTATAGAGTGGAAAGAAGGGAGGAGGAGAGAGAGAGAGACATTTACTGGGTTGCCTGCACCTGAGACCAAACCTGTAACCTGGGCATGTGCCCTGACAGGGATTGAATCAGCAACCTTTCTGTGCATGGAACAACACTGAACCAGTTGAGCTACACCAACCAGTGCTACAATTGCTTTTTTTTAAAAAACCTCACAATATTGTAATAGTTCTTCTACAGTGGTACATATAGATGAAACCCAATCTTTTCATTATGGCATAATATTTTGTAGTATGAATTATAGTACTCTCTTCCTTTCCCAATTGATGAGTAATTAGACTGTGTCCAATTTTTTTTTTTGCTATCATTATATGTTAGCTGATTTTAAAACTTTGATTTATTTAAAAAATATTTTTATTGCCAAAACAGTTTGGCTCAGTGGATAGAGTGTCGGCCTGTGGACTGAAAGGTCCCAGGTTCAATTCTGGTCAAGGGTAGCTGGGTCAATGGTTATCTTTCATCGATGTTTCAAGTTCTCTATCCCTCTCCCTTCCTCTCTCTCTGTAAAAACAAAAAACAAAAACAAAAAAACAAAAACAATAAAATATATTTTAAAAATATTTTTATTGATTTCAGTTAGAGGAAGAGAAACAATGAGAGAGAGGATCATTGATTGGCTGCCATCTGCACACCCCCTACTGGGAATTGAGCCCCAACCTGTCACATGTCCTGACTTGGAATCGAACCCTGACCTCCTGGTTCATGGATTAATGTTCAACCACTGAGCCACTCCAACCAGGCTTATTTTTCTTTATATAAAACTAGGGGCCTGGTGCACCAAAATTCATGCACTCTGGAGGGTCCCTCAGCTTGGCCTCTCATAGTCTGGGACCCCTTGGGGGATGTCCACTTGCCGGCTTAGGCCCACTCCCCAGAGGATTGGGCCTAAGCTTGCAGTCAGACATCCCTCTGCCAGCTCGGGAGCTCTTGGGGGATGTTCAACTGTGGCTTAGGCCTGATCCCTGTGGGGAGCCGCAGTCAGACATCCTTAGTGCTGCCAAGAAGGTGGTAGAGGCACCCACCAACACTGCTGTAGTTGCAGCTGTCAACCTAGTTTGTCACTGAGCAGACTCACCTTGTGGTAGGGGAAGCTCCTGTATTTAGTGTTTGCCCCTTGGTGGCTAGTGTACATCAGAGCTACCAGTCATCCCAGGTTGTTCAGCCTTTAGGGTCAATTTGCATATTACCCTTTTATTATTACATATAGGGCTAGAGGCCCAATACACGAAATTCACCCAAGAGTAGGTCTTCTTCTCCCAGCTGCTGGCACTGGCTTCCCTCCAGCAGCCGGGACCTGGGCTTCCCTGGAAGCCCCAGCTTCATCTGGAAAGTCTTCCAGAAGGGATGTCTGGTCTAATTAGCATATTACACTTTTTAAAATATATATTTTTTATTGATTTTTTTACAGAAAGGAATAAAATATTATAATAGAATACATAGTTATTAAAACTATAGGAATGTACATTGAAAAACTATATTATTTTAAATATATTTTTTTATTGATTTTTGTACAGAGAGGGAGAGAGATAGTTAGAAACATCAATGAGAGAGTTATCGATCAGCTGCCTCTTGCACACCCCTTACTGGGGATATGCCCGCAACCAAGGTACATGCCCTTGACCAGAATCGAACCTGGGGCCCTTCAGTCCCCAAGCCGACGCTCCATCCACTGAGCCAAACCGGTCCCGGCTATATTGTTTATTTTAAAAGTAGATTCAAAGATTTCAGTTGCTCTCACTTCCTGCTAAAATGAGGAGATGGATATGTTATCTTAACTGTAGTAAATGATTTCACTGTGCTTATGTATATCAAATCATCATGTTGTCCTTAAATATTTACAATTTTTATTTTCAAATAAAGGTAGATGAGCGAATAGTATTGTGGTATGTTATTTTTTTCAAAGACAAATATGTATATTTATATGTAAGGAAAAATACTGGGAGGATATAAACAAAATGTCAAAAATAGATAATCATTGGATGAGAGTGTGGTTCACTTTTATTTCTTTCCTTTTGCTTACCTATATTTCTTTATTTTAAAATATATTTTTATTGATTTCAGAGAGGAGAGGGTTAGAGAGAGAGAAACATCAATGCTGAGAGAGAATCATTGATCAGCTGCCTCCTGCATGCCTCCTAGGCATGTGCCCTTAGCCAGAATTGAACCCAGGACCTTCAGTCTGCAGGCCGACACTCTATCGACTGAGCCAAACCTGCGAGGGCATTACCTGTATTTCTTACACAAATACAATAAATATATATCACTTTTTTAATACCAAAATAAAAAGCTGTTGTTGAAGAAAATATTTTTTTAAATTTTTTTATTTATTGATTTTAGAGAGTGGAAGAGAAAGAGAGAGAGAGAAAGAGAGGAGAGAGAGATTTGTTGTTCCACTTTTTTATACATTCATTGGTTGCTTTTGTATGTGCCCTGACCAGGGATCAAACCCAAAAACTTTGACATAATGCTTTAACCAACTGAGCTGCCCAGCCACGGCTAAAATATTTTTAAAAATATGACTGATGGGCATTTTTGTACTTCTCCCTCATTTATTAGGAAGAAAAGATTGGGGGCTGTGGAATGTTCCTCTTTACCTCCAACCTCAAACACTCCCACCTGGATGACTAGTTTTTTCCTCTTCTGTCTGAGTCCCCAGTGGCCCTGTCTTATTGGCTTAACATTCTCTACTCAGTGGGTGAGACAATGTTTTCTTACTGCCCTACTGTGTGACTTTGGGCAAGATCCTTCTCTTAGGGGCTCGTTTCTCCTCTTCAAATTTAGAAGTTAGAATCAATGATCTTCAAGGTCCCTTCCAGACAAAAAACACACATACATAGATTTAGAATCAGAAAACCTCGGGGTGTGCTTGAGAATGGTTATCACCTCTCAGGAAAAGATTCCTGATGTAGGGCTTGATACAGAGTAGTTGTTCAGTGAATTAGCTTTTTGCCTCCACCTCCTAAAAAAACCCCCTCAGAATAGGTTTGTTATGCTTGCTCCTGATGGTGTTCTAACCCAGATTGGTTTTCTCTCTCTGCCCCACCACACACTTCCTCTCTCTCTCTAAAAATCAATAAGTTTAAAAATATTAAAAAATAAGAGCAGAAATCAGTAAAATAGGAAGTAGACAAACAAGATCACACATTTTACTGGAGCACACACTTTATTTTATTGTGTACCATTTTCCCCTCCCCCTGAGGTAATTGGTACAGTACTTGTTTCATCCATCCATCCATACATTTTAGTGAGGAAGAGAAACAACCACTGATTGTTTCTTTCTTTTAAAAAAATATATATATTTTATTGATTTTTTTACAAAGAGGAAGAGAGAGGAATAGAGAGTTGGAAACATCGATGAGAGAGAGTCATCGATCAGCTGCCTCTTGCACACCCCCTACTGGGGATGTGCCCGCAACCAACGTACATGCCCTTGACCGGAATCGAACCCGGGACCTTTCAGTCCGCAGACGGATGCTCTACCACTGAGCCAAACCGGTTTCGGCTGATTGTTTCTTTTTTTTAATATATATATTTTTATTTATTTCAGAGAGGAATGGAGAGGGCGAGAGAAACATCAATGGGAGTCACTGACCAGCTGCCTCCTGCATTCCCACACTGGGATCTGAGCCCGCAACCCAGGCAGGCGCCCTGACCTCCTGGCTTACAGGTCCACGCTCAACCACTGAGCCATGCCGACTGGGCCATTGATTGATTCGTTTACTTGTCCTGCCTGGGATTGATCCACAATCACAGCTTACCTGAACGTTGCTAAGGCAACCGAACGAACTACCTGGCCAGGGCGGGAGAGTGCGTGTTTGCAACAATTTACCAAAGTGAGGTCTGGGCACTTCTACGATTGCCACGTCTGAGACACATTCAAGCTGTCATCTAGCTGGGGCCTTGATAAAAAAAAAAAAAAAAAAAAAAAAAAAAAAAAAAAAAAAAGCCATATCAGGGCTGCCCGCGTTGTAGTGGAGGAACACGTTCCTCGCAGGGACCAGGCTGTTACCACGCGGCTTCGGGAAAGGACCTGGCGAGTCCGTTTTGCCAATGTGGACCTGTGTGACCTTGGGCAAGTCCCTTCTCCCTTCGGGAACGCTGCGGGGGGCATTAGTGCCTCCTCCCGGATCGGCCTATGCTATGGGGGCGACTCAGTAACCTGGAAGACATCCTTCTTTAAACGTTTTCCGATCTCTGAAGACCCTCGCGTGGGTGGCCAGGAGCGAGAGAGTCCACGGTCCCTGCGCGTGAGGTCCCTCGTCCCGCGCAACGGCTCTCGCGAGATTTCCTCCCAGAGCTTCTCGGCGTCAGCCTCTCCGCGGCCCCAGCGGAGGCACGTAAGCCACTCACAGGGGCGGCCCGTATCCCTCCGCCGCCGCCGGCGCAGCCCGGCCCTCCTTCCCCGGGCCCGCCAATCCCCGCGCCTCCCGACCTGCCCCTCGGCCTGGGCCCACCCCGCGCTCGGGCGGCCCCACCCCGGCGGCGACGCCCGCCCGTCCACCCGCGCGTCCCTCGGTCCACCTGCAGCAGGCTGCCCCTCCGGCGGTGCGACCGGGAGGCGCCGGCCGAGCCCGAGGCCTGGGCGCCTGCTCCGCGGCGGAGGGATTCGCGACGGCCGAGGAGGCGGTGCCGAGCTCAGAAGGAAGAGGCCCTACCGCGGCGGCGGCGGCGGCGGCGGCTGCTCGGGCGGCAGCGCATAAAGAGGCCGCCGCCGGGTGATGCGGTGACCGCTGCGGCAGGCGCAGGAGCCGAGTGGGCCTCGGCCCTCAGCAGGTCCCGCCGGGCCGCGCCTCCGAGCCCTCCATCTTCTCCTGTCGACCCGCGATTACCGAGGCGGCCTCGCTCTCCTTCGCCCCTTCCCCGTCCCTTCCCTGTCCCCGTCCCCGCGCCGGGGGCGGCCGCCACCCGCCTCCCACGATGGCTCTGAAGAGGATCCACAAGGTAAGCGGCCGAAGGTCGGCGGTGGGTTTGGGCCGGCTGAGCGGGCTGCGGCCTGCACTCCCCGCCGTCGCCTCTGCCTCCGCCTCCGCCGGGCTCGCGGCCTCTTCGGACCCGGCTGTGGGCAAGGGCCTCGCCGGCGGCCTCACACCCGCTCCCAGTGATGGCGCCGCGAAGGCCCCGCGCACCCCGCGCTTAAGCCGGAGGTGCGTTCGTCTGCTCCGCGCTTCTCCCCGGCCTCCTTCCTAGGTTCTGCGCGATGCGGTGTCCCAGGGTCTCTCCCGGGCCTGGGGCTGCTGCGCCGGAGGGCCATTGTCCGAGCTGCCGGGAGAGGGGGCTGGGGCTGGGGCAGCCCCTTCGACCCAGGTCGAAGGCGCTCGCCCCATCTTTGCCCGTTGTCTCCCCCGCCCTCTTCCTGGCCCCCTGCACGGAACCACCTGAGCTGGGGCCGGGATCTCAGATAGACCCAGAAGGCCTTTTTGTCCGATCCACAAGAATTTCTTAAGTTCTCTCACCTCGAGGCCAGCACACACCGGTCCAGTCACTCTACTTGTCCAGAAACTGTTAAGAGTGGGAAGTTCAGAAGGAAGAAAAAAAAACATGAGTCTTTTGATGGGGAGGGAAGTAGAGGGAGAAGTATTTTATTCCTTGAGATAGTCAGAAATTAACACTGCAAGTTTGCAGGAATTGATCTAATAGAAAAGCTGTTAAGTTGGCAAGGGTAGAGGTAGAAACGTGAACATTGAAAGCTACAGGAGAAAACTACGCAATTTTCTTTTTAAGATTGAATTAGGTGATACGTTCAGAGAGACCGTTTTAATTTAGAAGGGATTTTGTTAGGTCTCCCCCCCCCCCCCCCCCATTATAAAGGACTTCTTTGCCCTTTAAAGACAAAGCGTTCTTTATTTCGTTATTTATTCGGAGGTTTTCCTAATACTGCTTCTAGAATATTGGCTTGGCTTAAAATTTAGGGTACCCCTTTCCTAATATTGTAACTTTCTAGTGCCTTTCACTATCTTCTTTTTCTTTCTTTCTTTTTTTTTTTCCTTTAAGGAAGTGGGGAAGTGCCACTGGTGATTTTTGGTTGGTGTTTCTCTTGGCTGTATTAAATCTAGCGATTTAGAAGTAGATCCTGGAATTATATGTCCTGAAGGATGGATGGAGATACAAGGGGAAGAGAACCAGTTTTCACTTTGTCTTAAACTCAGTGAAAGTGCAGGTTGTTGGACAATTTAAACACTGCAGCTCAGCAGTTGGTCTTCATTTCATTTCATTCTTGATAAAAGACCTTTACGGTGAAATTAATCCCACTGGTTACTGTAAATTAGGTTAGATGCTTACCAAATTCTTTTGGCTTCTTTGATTTCTAAAAAATGAAAAAGGGCAGAATTTAGAAAGTAAATCTTGTATTGAAACGAAGCAGGTTATTTGTTAAAAGAAGCTTTACCTTAACCAAATGTATCTTAAAGAACCATTCAAGGGCAGGAGCACTTCAAGGTAATCGAAGTAAAAATATATATGCATTATTTTTAAGGCTTTTAGGAATTACTAGTTTTCTATAGAGACTAGTTGGGAAGTTGTCAACTTAAGATTCTACCTGTACAAAATTGTGCACTTATTTTAGAACCTGAAGAGGAGTGAGTATAATGTGTGATAACTTACAGTCAAGAAATGTAGCCTTTCATCTTTACATTGATTGATATCTTTGTTTCTTTCAGAGGGGAATAGCTTTCAAAACATGAATTTTAATTTTTAGGTATATTTGCCCCCAGTATTATGGTTTCTTTGAGTTACTACATATTCTCTAGATTTTCTCTAAAATATGGCCATATAAAAATTTTAATAAGGAGTATCAAGGTTATTCAATGATAATTTGAATTTTTGAATCCCAATATTAACCTATTTTCTCCCTGGTTTGTTACCTAGAGCCTTCCTTAAGTATGGTTCAGCTTCTGAGACTACCAGGGATTAGAAAAATAAAATTTATTTGGTATACTAGTCAATAAGATTGTGAAAACAAAATGGAGGCTTTCCCCTCAAACTTTTTGTGTGACCAATTTTAAGTTGCCTTACCTAGGTATGGGTGAGATCATCCTATCTTATCCTCAGCCCTAGTAATGTATCTATAATCGAATCCCCAAAAGACTTAGGTTTAGGTGGCTTATATAATTGGACTTGGTTTTGAACCTTCCCAATTATTATTCTCTGGAAAACTAGTTCTATTTGAATATCCTCTCAACTATCAGAACTGCTGTATCAGGGTTCTAATAAAATTTTGCTAAGCACAAGTACATTTGACATGTGGCATCTTGAGGAATTCCTTATCTTGTTTCTTTGATAGAAGGAAATAGTATTCTGTGAATTTGACAATGCTATGTCTCATTTGGAAAAAGCTTTTGATGGACTTCATTTTGATATACACTTTAAGCCAAAGCCGGTTTGGCTCAGTGGTAGAGCGTCGGCCTGCAGACTGAAGGGTCCCAGGTTCGATTCTGATCAAGGGCATGTACATTGGTTGCGGGCACATCCCCAGTAGGGGATGTGCAGGAGGCAGCTGTTCGATGTTTCTCTCTCATCAACATGTTTCTCTCTCATCAACGTTTCTAGCTCTCTATCTCTCTCCTTTCCTCTCTGTAAAAAATCAATAAAATATATTTTTAAAAAAATGAATAGATATACACTTTAAGATCTCCTGACCTATGTTTTAACAGTGTGCCAAAGAGGGTCATTGTGGACATCCAGTGTAGTTTTGTGCAGGGATTGGGACCCTCTGGGATTATTTGTATCTATAGCAAATGGCCCCAGCCTAGTATGTTTTGAGGTTTTTCTGCTGACTTTATTAGTCTTGAGCTTTGATTTTGTTGCTTTGAGTGTTTGCTTCTAACAGCACCACCCCCAGACTTTTTCTAGTTGGCTGCATCTCATCTGTTGTGGGCTGGGAAACCAGATCGCAGAGCTTATTAAAATTATGTCTAAAATAAGATCCAGCAGGCTCTGAATGAAGAGGGCTTCATGTATTCTGTGAACTGTGTGGTCTATTTGGCTGATCAGAGATCGCTTCCTGTTTTTCTTTTTACTTTTGTTATACATATGCAGGAGGCTAAGATTGAAATACAGGGTTAATTTCTTTATTCTTGGGAATAGTGTAAGGCTGAATATTTTGATTTTTAGAGGAGCTAAAGACAGACCAGTTAGAATACTAAAAACTTTTCTTAACATCAACAATGCCTTGTACATTTTTAAAAATATATATTTTATTGATTTTTTACAGAGAGGAAGGGAGAGAGATAGAGAGCTAGAAATGTCGATGAGCGAGAAACATCGAAAAGCTGCCTCTTGCACACCTCCTACTGGAGATGTGCCCGCAACGTTGGTACATGCCTCTGACCGGAATCGAACCTGGGACCTTTCAGCCTGCAGACCGACGCTCTACCACTGAGCCAAACCGGTTTCGGCTGCCTTGTACATTTTAATGGTATTCTGCTAGTTATAGTTAACATTCGTTATACATAGTTTTACTGCCAGGATCATTACTGACTTAGTCTGTTTCTTTTCTTTTTTTTCCCCCTTCAAAATACGATTTTATTGATTTTAGGGAGAGAGAGAGAGACACGGATCACACATTCCCTACTGGGAATCGATCCCACAATCCAGGTATGTGCCCTGACCAGAATTGAACCAGCGACCTTTTGGTACAATGCTCAACAACTGAGCCGTACAGACCAGGACTTGATTTAGTCTGTTACTATGTTGAAGATTTTAAAAAATACAGTATATCTTCCAATTACAATTGATAACAATATTTTTATTAGTTTTAGATGTACAGCATAGTGACTAGACCACATGTGTCAAACACAAGGCCCGCGGGCCAAATCCATCCCGCCAGGCCTTGCAATGTGGCCCGCACCGTGCTGTCATCACTGCACTCCGCTGCGTTTCCATCACAATGACAGTTTATGACTGTTCAGTAAACCATTCGGCCCGCGATTTAGGCTGGATTTTAGATTTTGGCCCCTTCTCTGATTGAGTTCGACACCCCTAGACTAGACAATTACAAAGCGATTACCCCAATATAGTGTACACCTTACACCATACACATTTATTACAATATTATTGTCTATATTCCCTATGCTGTGCTTTATATTCTTGTGACTATGTTTATAACTGGCAGTTTGTATTTCTTTTTTAAAAAATATATTTTATTGATTTTTTACAGAGAGGAAGAGAGAAGGATAGAGAGCTGGAAACATCGATGAGAGAGAAACATCCATCAGCTGCCTCTTGCACACCCCCTATTGGGGATGTGCCCTTGACCAGAATTGAACCTGGGACCTTTCAGTCTGCAGGCCGACGCTCTTATCCATTGAGCCAAACCAGTTTCGGCCAGTTTGTATTTATTAATCCTTTTCAATTTTTTTTTTCACCCATTCTCCCAATACCCCTCTCAGTGACCATCAATTTGTTCTCTGTAACTATGTTAAGATTTTTATGACTAACTTCTGTTAAGGCTCCTTAAGAGTAAATACATACATACATACATACATACATACATACATACAATTCTCAGTAAAATAAATATTTCAAACTCTGATGGTTAAAAAGGCCAGGTAGGTGTAACCCCAGTGAGCAAAGAGAATTGGGGCAAGGGGGGGAAGAGCTAGAAGTTGCATGTGCTGTCAAAAGAGGGCAGCTGCTACCCAATCTCTCCAAGTGTTGCTATTGCTAGAATCTGTGAGCCTAATGTTGCCAGATTTATCTTCCTCCTTTCTCCTCCCCTTTCTTCCCCTCCCCTCCCCTTCCCTCCCTGGGAAGCCACAAATCCAGATTTTTGATAACCAATTCAAATTTTGAAACAGCCACCATATTCTTTTGGGAGGTAGGCACCAGTTTAATATGTGAATTAAAAATAACAAAAGTGAGGTTCAATAAGTAATCAAGAGTATGAGGATTAAATAATTTAAACCGTATTTTCTTTTTAAAAGTTTCAAAGTATTGCTTTATGT